TTTTTTTTTATATGTACAGCACTGAATTGAAAATATTTAGTGGTTTACACGATAAAATTTTAAAAACGGATTGTTTGTAGCAGAACAATATAATATTATAGCTAAATTAAGGAAGCATCTGACAGTAGTGATTGGGGGTATTATTGAGGTCGAGCAAACAGACGTATAATGGGTGCATTATACAATAGTCGTGGATAAAAATATTTAATAATAAAAACAATGTTTTTAATAATTAACAAAGTTTTGAAGGAAAAGATTTAATACTTTGCCAGAAAACAACTACATAATAATAAAAATCAATGCGTTCAAGCGTTTTCCCAATAAAAATTACACAATATCTATTGCTTTGAAAGTATGCGTCACTTTATGGTTTGAAAAATATAGTTAAATGCTGCCTTTAAACAACTGGGGTAAACATTTCTTCTCCTCCTAATCCTCTCAAAACATTTTGGGCCGTCAGTTCAGCCATGGCATCTCTTGTTTTTTTCGTTGCACTTCCTAAATGTGGTATAATGACTGAAATAAAAGAAAAAAATATTATTACTAATAATATCTCAAAAATGTTGTGATAATTCTTCGAGCATATACTGCCGGAGGTAACTCCTAACGGAGCGTTATAAGGCGTAGAGAGATAACTTCATAGCTATTTCGCTCTCGCCGAATATAATTGGCTGTTCCTATCTCGGGTATGTAGAGAGGATCAGTCGTGGGCCAATCACGTTCAGCGAGAGAGATATAGTCACCAGAACGTCCAAGTTACTTGTCATATAGAGTAAGTGGCCACCCTCAGTAAAAATTATACCAACTACACCTTAACTTGAAAATTTTCTTTAAAGCCTCTTCCACTTATAAGCCCTTTTAAATAGTAGCCATAACTGTGGATATAACTTAAATGAGTTTTTAAAGGTTTTTCAATAAAATGTAAAGAATAAATTGATTTTTAACTTTTTCATGAAAGATGTTATTTCTAACTTTTTATTTTTCTGACAATTTTTTTGCTAATCAAATTTTTTTTAGTCTTATTTCTACGAGCACATTAAGGTTTTACAAAAATTTTCCATAGGCTTGTCAATAAAGTGTAATGAGTTTGGAAATGTACTATCAAGATGGTCTTAGTCCGCTTGAGCTTAAGGGCGTCGTATTCTTTAAATAGTGTTTTCCACAAAGGCAAATAATTTCATACATTTAATAACTGAATAATCTAAAGCTTATCAAATAATAGGAATGTTATGTCATGCCACCTGAGTATTTTCAAAGACGCCGCAGTAAAACGAATAAACAGGTGCAAAACAACGATCAAACTATCAAGGTTTTATGTACTGAAATATACGAAAATACTAACTTTTTTATATATAACTCCACATGTAAATATTCTTATAACATTTACTTGCTTAGTCCTACATATAAAATTGTTTACTTTTATTTAGTACGTGAAAATAATTCTTAAAATGTGAGGTTAGAATAACAGCAAACGCGCGTTTTACAAACGCTTTTTTTAGTTATTATTTTATTTGAGTAAATTTAAATAGTAACAATGAATAAACAGAACACCAAGGATTTTATTGTTGTGCTTACTTTTGTTCTACACGTTTTACTTTTCAAGATTTCAGTACCTAAAAACGTCAGAAATTTGACTATTTCTCTGCCAGGGATATGGCCACCTTAATAATCCAATAAGGATATCATTTTATAAAAAAAAATCCAAACAGGATGATTTTTTCAGAGTTGTTTGGGGACTGACTCCTGAGTATCCAAGCAAAAGATGACACTCGAACTCCTGGTACGACTTTCGAAAGGGGGTCGTTTCCTAAACATTTTTTTAGAGCAAAATGACCTCCATAGAAGTTGTAGAGGATCAAATTCTGAACAACTTTTCCTCATATTTTTTTTATATCTCTAATACTTAACGAGTTACTGCGCATTATATGTTAAAAAATTCGTTTACCACAGGACTGGTCCTAAATATATTTTTAAATATAACTTTAATAAAAGTTGGATAGGAGTAAATGCTCCAAAATTTTGCATTATAATTTTTTTTATTATCTCCATTACTTTTAACATGTTACAGTGCATTTATAAATAATTCACTATCTCCATGAAAATCATCAACTCAGTTCTCATTTCCTGGAAGGCTCAGGTGAATTCATCTCTTTCTCAACGTCGGTCGCGTCCGGATCGATGTTTGAACTATCATCCTGGGTACGCGATGTACTGTTTTCAGGGTCGTCATCGATATCGTCATCATCGCTGTCATTTCCAAATTCAGATAATGGCAATGGTTGTGCGTTATCGCAAATCTCGCCAGCGCTGTGTTTGCACATTACGCTGCTTTTGTACAACTACAAGCTGCTCTACAGGGTGTACCGTATTGGCATGAAATAAGGTTTAGAAGCTCTGCTAGAGCTGGCTCTTTTTTGGTTCTGCAAAAACATGTTTACAAGACAGCGTGCAGCGTAACACAATGCACAGTAACTCGTTAAGTATTAAGAGATACAAAAAAAAATTATAAGGAATAGTTTTTCAGAATTCCTCTACAACTTTTATTAAGCTCAAGTCATACCAGGTGTTCGAGTATGATCTTTTAGTTGGATACTCAGTCCTCAAGCAACCCTGAAAAAATCATCCTGTTTGGATTTTTTTTTGCCGAGCACAACTTTATTGGATTATAACTAGATGCCTTGACTGAAATATTCTGTAATATTTCAGTCAACGTTAGATGATATTAAACTGGTGAAAAAGAACGACATAATTGTTGTCTACTTAAATTTACTATTTTGTGATATAGCATAGCCTCTTGTCATCAACTCATGATGCAAGATTAATTTAAAAAACGTCATTAGAGCTACTTCATTAGCTACCAGAAAATTATTCCCCACTTTGGTGAATAAACCGTAATAATTTGTTAGTGCCGATCATTGGTGGCCAAATGTGTGGCCTGATAGATGCGAATTTTTATTGTCAAAATGTCAAAGTTCAGATGCCAATTAAAATTACATCTCGTTCTTCACGTGAAAATTGCATTTTTACCATAGACCTTATAAACTACTGGACTCGCCCAACTGTCATTTAGCCTATATAAACGGCAATCGCTCAGACGTGTGCGAGAGAGATGGAGCTAGTAAGGGCTTAAGCTTCGTTCGCAGAATTTTGATTGCAGCGCGCTACATTTAATTTAACCAATCAGCTAGCTATACTCGATTCCTTACCCCTTTTTTCTGTTGAACCGTATTCAAAGACTTTATAAAAATAATATAGAGACTAAAAGACAACAAATTTTTTTTTTTCCAGTAGTGTACGTATGTAAAAGGGTTTATTATATTACTGTCCTACACGGTGTGCAGGAAGCAAATTTTATTCAAACGAAAATGTCGAGAAAAACTGCTTATGCAGGGGGCTTGCTACTTATAAATACATGCAGAATCTATAGTTTTTAAAATCTGATTAGATCATTTTAAGCTTTTTTTGGTAAAAAAATGTAAATGCATAATAACAGTGATAATTGATCGTATGAGAATAATATAAAAATTATATTTATGCGTAAATATGTAAGTATGTATATAACTAGGCACACACATACTGACTTACCCACCCATACACATTATATATATGTTTACATAAGCAAGTAGTTAATGGAAAAATTTAAATAAATACATGTATGAAAATCATTATTCCTTGTAAACCTTTCGCAGTAATAATTGTAAATTTAATAAACATATTTTTTTCAAGTTTATATACTTATATATAAGACATATATACATAACACATATAATACATATAACACTATATTACTATTTTTGGTTGAATAACTTAAATATTTGAAGATGAAAAAGATACAACTGCTTTTTTCAATTTTGGTAAATATGCTGGATTATTTATTGATTTAATTTTTCTTCTATTCCAATGATTTAAAAATTCCTTATGAATAGATTCTCCTGCCTGCTCAGACCAGATACCAAGTCCATCTCCATTTAGATATTCCAGGCAGTGCGTAAGATGCTCTAGTGTTACATGAACTTTAAGTTTTTTTAAAGTTCGGTAGATTCAAAAATTGTTTTCAATTCTTTGATGTATTTTTCGAGATTATCGCCCTTCTTTAATTTTAAGTGTATTAATAAACGGAACCAAACTTAAAATTCCTACGTTACTATATGTATATAGAAGGATCATCTAATTTATCCGCCTTTTCCAAAAGAGTACGACAGGAATTCCCTTCAAACGTTTCACCATGATTACTTTCTTGTGTAAGATTAAGCTTCTTTGGTCAAATAAGTGCCTTTTCTCTACCAAGGATTGGAACTAATCCGTCACAAAATAAGAGGTTGACGAATCCTTGCATAACATGCAATTCTGGAATGATGCACTTTTTTATCACACAAACATCATCATTTTCTTCTAACAATGGTAAATTTATAGTGCTATGGCACTGTTTAGCTCTTTTTAAAAGTGCAAAGAAGGGCGATAATCTCGAAAAATACGTCAAAGAATTGAAAACAATTTTTGAACCTACCGAACTTTCAAAAACCTTAAAAGTTCATGTAACACTAGAGCATCTTACGCACTGCCTGGAATATCTAAATGGAGATGGACTTGGTATCTGGTCTGAGCAGGCAGGAGAATCTATTCATAAGGAATTTTTAAAACATTGGAATAGAAGAAAAGTTAAATCAATAAATAATCCAGCATATTTACCAAAATCGAAAAAAGCAGTTGTATCTTTTTCATCTTTAAATATTTAAGTTATTCAACCAAAAATAGTAATATATAGTAGGATCGTATTCGATGCAAAGTAGAGCAAAAAGTTGTCTGTCTTTTATCAAAGGAAAATCGTGTCATCATTTTTAGGAGGCGTAAGATAAATCATTTCAAATTTAAAATGAAATTTAATGTAAAATCTGAAATACCGCTGCTTACGCACTATGTTCTGGTAGTAGCTGTAGTCGCCCAGGTGCATCGAGTGTACGAACTGGTCGGTTATACGTCAAATACTAACCTGGCGAGCTTTGCCGTCAATTAGAGAGCGCTTCCAAAAAACAAGTAAACAACAGTGGCGCGTACAGAGGTAAAATGTAGTACATATGTGGAATTTAGGAAACAAATTGGATTTATAATAAATTACATTTAAAATAAATAGTTTATGAGAATAAAGGAATTTTTGTAGGAACAAGGGTGCCAGACCTGAACTGATCCCCTCGTCCCTTCATAATGTATAAAGAAATTATTCAGTTTGTAAAACCCTTAAAAGCGTACTTCATTGGTTCCCTTGACAGGCAATGATTTATTACTTTGCATCGAATATGATCCTACTATAGAGCATCTTACACACTGCCTGGAATATCTAAATGGAGATGGACTTTGTATCTGGTCAGAGCAGGCAGGAGAATCTATTCATAAGAAATTTTTAAAACATTGGAATCGAAGAAAAGTTAAATCAGTGAATAATCCAGCATATTTACCAAAATTGAAAAAAGCAGTTGTATCTTTTTCATCCTTAAATATTTAAGTTGTTCAACCAAAAATAGTAATATATAGTGTTATATGTATTATATGTCTTATGTATAAGTATATAAACTTGAAAAAACATGTTTATTAAATTTACAATTTTATATTCAATAATTACTACTAAAGGTTTACACTGAATTATGATTTTCATATATGTATTTAGTTAAATTTTTCCATTAACTACTTGCTTATGCATAGAAGCACCCTTGCAAAAAATCAATTTTGCCATGAAGCTATGAGTTAAGAAAAAAAGTGAATGTACACTTTTTGACAATAACAAACTGTTCTATCTAAAAATAGCATCATTTTTTATTTTCAGTAGGGCCGTATTAATTTTTTTTATAATTTAATGAGTCTGAGTCCCCATAACTCCGCCATTGGTTGTTTGCGGGACTTCTAGGAAAAATGGTAACTTATAAGATGTCATGCCAAATTTGGCTTAAANGTTTTTACATTTTTTACAAAAAAAGCTTAAAATGATATAATCAGATTTTAAAAACTATCGATTCTGCATGTATTTATAAGTAGCAAACCCCCTGCATAAGCAGTTTTTCTCGACATTTTCGTTTGAATAAAATTTGCTTCCTGCACACCGTGCCTAATTAAAGTACAATATTTGAATTGTTTTAGCTATAAAATTCCAAATAGTTTTTATAATGCCTTATTTATGTATTTCTCCATTTATTTTCCTCATATCGTAAACTCGATCGGTTAAAATTACTGCAAGCTCTTCTGACGTAGTTATTTCAAATATTTCATATTTTCTTGCTTTGCAGAACTCTATAAATTGAAACTATGTCGATGTCTTTCTTCGTTCAACATATTATTTGAAGAGAATTTTTGCTGGAGGACATTATAAGTACATTTCAGTTAAAACTATTTCTTTATATTCGGTTTGATGTTAAAAAATAATTTGAAGAGTAACACATTTAAAGCGGCAAAATTTTGACGTTAAAATGACATTTTATTTTGAGGATGGGGGAAATAATATAATCTAATAAGTTATCATCAGAGACAAAACTCTACTTGGTCATTATTTTCAGAAAGATGCGAAAATTATAAACATGTTGGTCCCATCATAACTTCTTTCCTACCTATGAAATTTAATGTTTTCTCCACTTAAACGTCTCTTTACGCAATTTATCGCAGAACACGATTGCACCATATTTAGTTTTTACGAATCTTTCATATACACTAATAAAATCACACAAAAATTCATGAAATCAATCAATAATGTCAATACATGACATTTACTTCAAAGTTTGTTTACGGCATTTTGTACCGGTATACCCGTGTACCATCATTTGTTTTACCGGTATTTGCCTCAACTAGCTTCAGCTGCCTTGCACACATCAGCGCGATTGACCTCTCTTTCTAGGGCCAGTCCATAGTTTACTAGGTCTATGATTTTTACTTATTTAAACTTTGACAATGTCAATGAAAATTTAACTGAACCATTGCCCAATTTGTCATAAGAAGTAATAATTGGATATATTTTTTTCAAAGCACTATTTGTAAAAAAAGTAAATATAATATGCTACATCATAACCAAAAATATGTGCCGAATTTAAAAATGCAAAATATGCCAAATTTTACAGGGTATTCTGTTGATAGAAAACAAAGGTATAATACATACTTACGAAATGCAATTGTCTTATTAAGTACTGTTTTGAAATGACAAGAAAATTTCCTAAAATAGTAATAAAAATATTTCGACTTCATGATTCTTGTCTAACTTAAATATTTTAGTTTCATAAGATGATGAATCAAGGATTATAAGTTGAAAGATGAAGGTTTGATTTGACTATTTTTCATAATCATGTTTTAGCTTTGTACTTTCTTATAAATGTATGATGTATGAAATATATTAAGAAATATTTACGTACCGGCATTTGGTAGTTTCAGTAATTCGTCACTTGGAGGCAAAGGTTCGGGGGTCATAACGTCTAACCCAGCTGCAANTTAATTTAAAAAAACACAAGCAAAAATTTATGCATTAATTGTACAGTTACCATTTTTTATAAAATAGTTACAATAGTTTATAAAATAAAACATACATATAAGTTTTTTGAACAAAGAAATCATTTTGATGGAGATTAATTAAATTAGTTAGACATAATTATTTATGAATTTCAATTTCTGTTGCTCCTGTTAACAAGATAATTTTCTTATTTATTCTTTATTTTTTCATTTATTATTTTATAGCGGAATGAACATTAGGTACCATAAAAATAGTGATTTTTCCAATTTTTCAGGAAATTTTCCAATCTCTTTGGTGGACAAGTATATTATTGTGTTATACATTTCAATTATTAGAGAAAAAAATCAACACCAAATTGCTGGTTATCACCAACCATGTTGTCGTCAACATCTTCGGGGCGTCGGACTGCAAAAACATCTCAAGAATTTTGTCGGACAATAAGATACTTTCATTTCAAATCTTATTACCAATCCCTCCCAGAAAAATCAGCTTGCTGATTGTCACCAACCATAATGTCACCAAATCGACATATTTGGTGGGGGACAAACTCAAAATACCAACAGTTTTGTCGGACAAATTTTTTGGGGAGGTTTAAAAAAATATATCTTTCATTTAAACTTAAAAAAAAAGTGCTGGTCATAACATTCCATGTTTATGCCAGATTGACATGTTTTCCTGAAAATCACAGGAAAACTTACCACTGTTGAATTTTCCTCATAGTCTTAAAGCTGCACGCAAAGTTAGAGCTTGCTGGTAATCATTTTACTTCATTGTACGTGGGCCCGTGGACTATAATAATTTGATATATTTCTTTCAAAGCACTATTTGTAAAAAAGTAAATATAATATGCTTACATCATAACTAAAAATATGTGCCGAATTTAAAAATGCAAAATATGTCAAAATCTACAGAGTATTCTGTTGATAGAAAACAAAGGTATAATACATACTGTTTTGAAATGACAAGAAAATTTCCTATTATTGTAATAAAAATATTTCGTCTTCATGATTCTTGTCTAACATAAATATTTTATAAGTTTCATAAGATAATGTAACAAGGATTATAAGTTGAAATATGAAGGTTTGATGTTTAATGACTATTTTTCATAATCATGTTTTAGCTTTGTACTTTCTTATAAATGTATGATGTATGAAATATATTAAGAAATATTTACGTACCGGCATTTGGTAGTTTCAGTAATTCGTCACTTGAAGGCAAAGGTTCTGGGGTCATAACATCTAACCCAGCTGCAAATATCTGGCCTTCTTTAAGTGCTTTGACAAGAGCCGGTTGATCTACAACTTGTCCTCTGCTTATGTTGACAAACACGGAAGTTTTCTTCATTTTGGAGAAGAAGTCAGCGTTACACATTCCCTCGGTCTCTGAGTTCAATGGGCAGGAGACTATAGCGAAATCACTTTCTTTTGCTAACGTATCCAGCGATACAAATTTCGCTTCTAATTGCTTACCTAAAATTAACAAAATACATAAATACATTTATAGAAGAGTGTGATATTAAATTGGGGAAAAGCATTAGATAGCATGAATTGTTTAATAAACAACACACGTAGTCCACCGCTCAACTAGGAAGAAATATTGAGATGGAAGCATTCATCAACTCACATTTCATCATGGTGCCGAAAAAGTACAAGATTCACATCTCTGTTAAGAATTTAGAGATGCCAGTTATATTGGTACATAAAATTATGAGAAGTGAAAGTTGCAACTGAGAAATATCAGACTTATCAGACTTACCTTCTTCTTTTTCTCTGTGTCCTGTGTAAATGAACTGCTTCACCATGAAGGGCTTCAACCGTTTTACAATTGCTTGACCAATACCTCCCAGTCCAATGATGCCCACTGTTGAACCTGCAATATCTTGACCTAACATCCATTGGTTATGTGGTCTCCAATCGTCACTAAAAGATGGAGTCATATGAAAATATATTTAATTAAACCAATTTATTAAATGAGGATTGACTTCAAATATTTTACAGCTTTGACAACTTTTATGATATCTTGGAGAAACAAATTTAGATTCCTATTTTCCTTTCTCTGGCAACCTAATTTAAAATTAGTTATCACTAATGAATTTGCATACCAAAGCTTAATTTTGTTAAGTACAGGTTCCAAAAGAGTAGTGATATTAGGAAGGAAGGATTGAGAAAAGATACCTCTTATTAAAATCAACCTGGTTTGATATGATATGAGATTGATTGGATGTTTTGGTAAAGCTAGAAGGTAAACAATCCATCCTAGCATGGATACCTGGACATGAGGGATATCGGGGCAATGAGAAGGCGGATGAGTTAACCAAAGTAGGCTTATCCATACCCCTCCAGAGGCGTAGCGTAATTCATGTAGGTATGGGTGAATCATAAGAATCACAGGCGGTGAGAAAAAACCTCTGAAAAGAGATAAACCAAGAAGTTTTTAATCTTAATAATACTAGCCTGGTAGAAGCAGATTGTACAGGTTTTGGCATAAGAAGGAGCTATTTACGATATTTAATGCTCGAAAAAGAAACATTGGAAGCTGGAGGCATTAAGAAGGAGTCACTCTGGAGTCTACTAGAAAGTTATAGTAGAGGATTGATTTAAATTTTGTAAATTCCTAAGTATAAACAATTAATTTCATTTACTTTTCAATTTTCAGTCTTCCTTCATGAAGTCTTCTTGACGCTGCCAAAGCTAAGAGAACTGCAACGTCAGCAACAGCATCATCTAGAACAAGCGGTGTATTGCCTAACTTAATTCCTCTCTTCTTTAGTTCTTCGACGTCGATATGGTTGTAACCAGCTGACATAGTTCCAACTGTTTTCATTTGAGGACCTGCAGCAAATAGGATTTATAAGTGCACGAAACATTTTAAATCTAGGTCTTAACAATAAGGTTCATTTATAATGACAGCACCTTTCAGAAACAGCTTTAATCTTCTTGAATAGTATACAGGGATAGAGCGCTATCATATTTGAAAGGATTGTCTTTATCAACGGTATAAAAAAAAATAAAATTTGAATGGATAGTTTTTGGGAAATATTGAAACAAATTTTAAAAATACTTGCTAGAACAAGGAAGGAAGTTACTGGGATTGGTTGGACATCATTTTTTTAAATTACTGCTGAGGTAAATCTTTTTTAAAATCTCTTAAAAATTGTTTGTTAAAATTTATACTATTTAGTAGATAATTCAACTATTTCAAAAAAGGTTCACTTAACGCTTTTACTAGTTAAAGAATATTGATGTTGTACCTTGTCTGGGTCATTTAAAAAATAGTGTAAATGTTTTTTTGTGCATATAAAAAAATAGAGGGTAAGTAACACTTAATCTTCAATCTGAATGAAACTTATAAAATATAGGAACACATTTTCTTTCTACTGTTGAAAAGTTATATAGGTATCTACAGTCGTGAATGTATAATATATGTAATAATATTTATATTATTAGTTTTATGAACTAAATTTAATTTACCTGCTGCTTCAATAATATCTTTATCTAGTTTTAGACGAGATGCCCAATAAATTGCGTCCACTCCTTTAACTTTGGATAATATTTCTTCCTTAGTGGTATCATTTTCAATTTGTATAATCTCACAACTAAAAAAAAAAAGAAATTGAATATTGAGATATTTATTAAAACTTAACAGAGAATAATTTAAGAGAAATTAAGATACGGGGACACAGACATTTGAATTTAAGGTCGGCATTTTCAAGTGTCAATTATATTTGTCGATTAAATCTATATCTGACACTTTATTTATGCACGTCTGTAATTTTACAAGATAAATATAGATTTAACCGATAAATAACAATAAAGGAGAAAGTAACATTTTCCATCGAGATTTCATATAGCATGACATATTACGGTTCCTAAGAAATCTCTAATTAAAAAACTTATTTTGTAGGAAGAGAAAGAATACTACTGGCAGCCACCCCCGCGGGGCCAGCCTTTAGCTACGACGCTGGTTGCGACGCGCGGCGTTTAGATTTAACAGCACAAAAGTATTCAGGTATACTAAATAAATAATTTTACAAGTAAGCTCGCAAACAATTTAAATATTTCAAAAATTAAATACTTATAATTTATATTATACATCTTGAAATAATTATTTCTTACTTTTACTCACTTATTAATACGGACTCAATTTTGCACAACACAAAATCCTAGTAATACATTAATCATTAATTACTATTTAATTTTATTCGTCGTAGTTTTCCTAACTTACAAAGGTAAAAGGTTCCCAAGGTTAATTTCAAGAAATTAGTAATTTCAATATAACATATGTATTTTACATTAATGCAGTTTGGATGAAGCACATTTCAAATGTTTATACGGGGTGTATCCTAAGTCTATGTCATAAATTGAGGGAGTGATTCCTTAAGTCATTTTAAGCCCAAAAGCCTTAATAAACCAGGACCCTAAAGTTACTGGTTTCCAAGATAGAGGGCGTTAATGTTTTTGAAGCCTATTACAAATTATTTTAAAATTAAATACGAACAAAAAAAATTATAACTCGAAAATGGTTTATTGTGGGACGAAAATGTAAGAGATCTTTTTTATTACATATATGACAGTTAATTAAACACGCCTATTAATTTTTCTGAAAATCCAGTGGCGTAGTTTTTCAGAGGGTTTTAATGACAAAGATCCCTTGAATCTCCGCCAGTGGTTGTCAGATTTATATAGAGATATACCTAATTATTACCTTTAATTAGTTACATAATTTCGTCAATCTAAGTCAAACAATTTCAGAGATAATTGAAAAATTTGATTTTTCAAAAATTTTAATGCCCTCTATCTTAGAAACAGTAACCTTAGGGCCCAGGTTTACTAAGCCTTTTAGCCTTAAAATGACTCAAGGAATCACCCTCTTAATTTATGACATAGACTTAGGATACACCCTGTATAATAAACATAGAAAACTCCAAGCTGAAAAAATAAAAAGATGTGTCTACGCATCAGAAGATTGGAATTTATCGTCATGTGTTTTTCTTACATTACGCTGACATTTATAATTATTATTTTGTTTCAGGTGTGTATCAGCCGATAGATTGATTTACTACAGGATTTCATGCTATCAAACTGATAGGCTGGGGAGAGGATAATGGCACTCCTTATAACTGCAATATTTGTTCTAGTTTTAATGGGAATTCCAAGGTTGACATGAAACATAAAAAGATATTTTACATCAAGACAAACTGATATATTTAAATAAGAATTGGGAACAAAATTAATTTTAAAATTGTTCAAAAAATAGGTTTATGAAACATATCTTTATAAATACTGTGTGTTTCATAATGGGAGACTTGCATATATAAGGTGTTTCAGAAAGACCTCCCGTAAATATAGAGGGTTATAATACGACAAAAAATAAGATTTTTTTGTCTTATGAACTATATGTCTATCGCTCTTGTTTTCCAGACACAGAGCGACAAAATAAAATAGAATTTTTAAGAATTTTTCCAAACGGTCAGAATATTTTTATGAAATTTGGTATTCCGGGGTTTTCAACGACGTCAAATACGCCGGTCTAACTATTCTTTCGCTATTTCATAGAGGGCGCTAGTTATGCTACATTTCTATGACATTTTAAGTTCAAATTTTTTTAAGGTTAGGTTTTTTACCATTCGGGCTCCAATTTCTGATGTATAATTTTATTTTCTAAAAATAATGTACTCTTGTTAGAACTTCCTAATGTGGACGGTTCTCGGGGAAAAAAGGCTTTTAATTGAACTCTTACAATATTAGGGTGTGACTTTTCTCAAAGTGGGCTTATGTCAAAAGTTATTGATGGATGTCTCATAAACAACGCATACATTCTTAATAATATTTTAAACTCTAATTAACTTTATATAAACATTTTAGTCATTGTAATTAGTCATCACTAAAAATCACTAAAACTTTGACGTCGCGTTAATTCGTGACGTCATTTAGTGCGATTTAGAATCGAGAAGATGAACGAAGCTAATAATTGTGTAGATACAGCCAAATTCACTTTATTTCGAGGCTCCCCGCATGTGTGTTTCTTTGTTTCGTCTCGTTTGCATGGGAATTGTAGACCAAACGGCAACAAGTTGAAAAGCAGGTTGTGTTCTCGATCTCACTAAATGACGTCACAATGCGTGATCACGTGACAAAATTTAAATTTTTACGTGATAATTTTGTAGCGTGGGCTATAGACTATACCTAAATTTGTGTAATTCTAACAGTAATTAAATATTCATGCAAACTGCTTATTATTTGAACACGTTCCAGTTGTCAAAAGAATACAGACCAATATATCTTTTCATATAGTAAATAAAATACATTTCGTAGGTAGGTACATGCTACTGAAAAATTTCGTTAATTTCGAAAATGCAAAAATAAGGTTTATTCCTCTGTTTGGAAAATATTATAGGCAATTTCNAACAAAATTAATTTTAAAATTGTTCAATGCCGTTGTCTATCTCCTCTTGTTTTTGAGATACAGAGCGACAAAATAAAATAGAATTTTTAGGGAAATTTCCAAACGGTCAGAATATTTTTATGAAATTTAGTATTCCGGGGTTTTTAAACGACGCCAAATACGTCGGTCTAATTATTCTTTCGCTATTTCATAGAGGGCGCTAGTTATGCTACATTCCTATTACATTTTAAGTTTAATTTTTAATTTAAAATTAAAAATTTTAAATTTTTTTAAGGTTAGGTTTTTTACCATTCGGGCTCCAATTTCTAATGTATAATTTTATTTTCTAAAAACAATGTACTCTTGTTAGAACATCCTAGTGTGGACGGTTTTCAGGGAAAAAAGGCTTTTAATTGAACTCTTACAATATTACGGTGTGACTTTTCTAAAAGTGGGCTTACCTATGTCAAAAGTTATTGATGGATGTCTCATAAACAACGCATACATTCTTAATAATATTTTAAACTCTAATAATATTTTTAATAATATTTTAAACTTTATATAAAAATTTTAGTCATTGTAATTAGTCATTACTAGTATTAACTATCACTAAAAATCACTAAAACTTTTTAAATGAATGTTTGACGTCGCGTTAATTTGTGACGTCATTTAGTGCGATTGAGAATCGAGAAGATGAACGACGCTAATAATTGTGTAGAGACAGCCAAATTTACTTTATTTCGAGTCTCCCCGCATGCGTGTTTCTTTGTTTCGTCTCGTTTGCATGGAAATTGTAGACCAGACGGCAACAAGTTGAAAAGCAGATTGTGTTCACGATCGCACTAAATGACGTCATAATGTGTGATCACGTGACAACATTTAAATTTTTACGTGATAATTAAGTTGTAGCGTGGGCTATAGACTGGTATCTAAATTTGTGCAATTCTAACAGTAATTAAATATTCATGCAAACTGCTTATTATTTGAACACGTTCCAGTTGTCAAAAGAATACAGACCAATATATCTTTTCATATAGTAAATAAAATACATTTCGTAGGTAGGTACATGCTACTGAAAAATTTGGATAATTTCAAAAATGCAAAAATAAGGTTTATTCCTCTGTTTGGAAAATATTATAGGCAATTTCGTTTTTATTCAAACACTCGAAAAAATATACAAGGCGCGTTTTAAAATCTACCTTGGGTAGCGACAAAACTTGTTTTGAAAATAATTATATTTTTGTCCAACATTTCTACGCCCCTGCCGCCCTTATCCGACACCCGAGGTAGAAAGATATTGGCGGAAAATTTCAAGGCACGCACCTATCGCGGTAAACTGTTACAGTAGCTCCGACAATTTTCTTGGAATTCTATCTCAACAAATATTGTATGGTCTTAATGAATCTACAGAACCACGTGCCATCGTGAGCTACTACGTGGCCTGCTATAATATGTTTTGAGGGAACAATTTTTCTAAAATCAAGTTAGATTTTTTTTTGGAATATCTGAGTTTAAGTGAACTACAAAATATTAAAACTTGAGGTGTCGAAGGGCACTGAATTAAGTTACGTTGTCAGACAGTCCAATAAAAAAACCACAAAAAAAAAAAAACATTTCTCAAAATAAAAATCATAGTAGGCTGCGTCATATTGGTACCATCGCAACGACACTTGGTTCTGTAGGTCCATTAAGGCACCCTATATACCAGATGTCTCACTTGTATTGTTGCAATGGCATATCCCCATTACTTAAAAAAAAACTTCTTTAAATTGTGTCTAACTTTAAAATTCTTTCACTTCCGGTTTGACCGGAAACGACCATAACTTTTTAATTTTAAAACACCCTGTATATTTTTCTTCAAATTTCAACAAATTGTAATATTTCGTGAAATAGCAGGTATCATACCTGCCTTCCGTGTTTACGAAGAGCGGTATCCTGATAGACGTATGCCAAGTGCTATGTACTTTACACGTCTAACTTCAAATTTAGCGAGATGTGGGGGCTTCTCAAAAAAATAAACGGTTTTTAAAAGAAAAACTGTTGAACAGCACAGTATTGGTGTTTTGAGAAGTGTACTTAATCCACATATTTCAATTCGAGAAATTGAAGCAGAATGCGATATCTCTCATTTTTCTTTTCAACGAATCCTAAAATCCGGCAAATTCAAACCTTCCACAATCCACCTGCATCAAGGATTAGAACCAGATTAGGAAAGAAGACTGGCGTTTCTTGCATGGCTAGCGACTATGAATACCGTTTTCATAATAACGGATCTGTCAATCGACACAATTGCCATTACTGTCGTTTAGATAATCCTCATTGGATGAGAGAGACAATAATTTTCAAAGAATTTGAGGATTTAACGTATGGTGCGGCATGATCGAAGAGTACATTATCGGATCAAAGTTTTATGAAAGAACATTAACTGGTGATATTTAGAATTCCTTCAGAGCTAGGTTTTCTTGAAAATGTTCCGCTGAATATACGTGCCAACATATATTTTCAGTATATTGGGGCACCCCCTCACAATTCTAGAATTGTAGTTGATTATCTAAATCAAATTTTCCCTAACAAGCGGATCAGTACGTATGGACCAATAAGATGGCCAGCAAGAGCACCTGATCTAACGCCATTAGATTATTTTCTATGGGATATTTGTAGGATAGGGCATACCAGACGCCTCCTGCAAATTTGGAAGATTTAAAAAATAGAATTCGAAATGAGTGTGGAGCTTTTAAAACTGTTAACTCCTGATCTTCTGCATCCAACCAAGTGTTGCATTGAATCAAATGGAAAACATTTTGAAGATTTTCTTTAGTATCTTTTCTATTGCTCACGGTTAGTCTTTGGTGTCAAGAGAGTCATATATCTACCGTTCCTGTAAAATATCTTTTTGTAATTCACTTAAGAATATTTTTCTATTTTTCACCTTCAATAAAATATTTGTAAATCATTTTTTACAGAGATCTTGAAAATACAAATTTTGCAAGTTACGGTCGTTTCCGGTTAAACCGGAAATCAATTTAAAGTAGATTGGGTGTATATCAGATGCCCCAAATTTCAAATTTATGGTTTTTTAAGTAATACGGATATGCCATTGGAACAATATAACTGAGACACTTGGTATACTTATAAACAATTATCATCGAAATATGGCCAAAAATTATTGTTACCTACTAAGCAACAGTAAGCAATTAAATCTTTGTCTAATGTATTAAGATTATGGTTTATGATCGTCTTATTTCCCGTATTATTAAATACAGACTTACCAACGCTTACATCACTATAATTCCGAGTAAGTGTTTTAACAGAATAAGAAAAAATGTTTCATGAAAAAGAATTCATTTATTCTGTTTATTCAGTACCTTAAATTAATTATAGTTTTGTTCCAAAATACAATACAATAAATAAAACGTATTTGGTTGACTGTAATGTTACTATGTATTTATGGTTGATGTATTTATTTAATTTGTACTTGCGGCAAAATACAAAATTAAGTGATCAAAATTAAAAATAACTTATCTAACACATGTAATAACAATTAAGTGTTTACTTACTACTGCTGTAGAAGGTTAAATGCAACTTGCGGTACGGTCGGATTGGAAACCAACACTTTCGGGCGGCTCATCTTGGTGCCGATTGTTACTTTTCCCACTGTTCTCAAGGCGATACTGAAGTAGATACACATATATACATTATCTTATCTAACAAGTTAATTATGACAATATAACCGCAAAACCAGCTTCCTATTAAAAATTACGACAGATTTTGAGAAAGCGCTAATCAGTTTGTTAAAACGAATTCTGAATGAGATAAAAAATGTAGAAGTGTTCGTGATCAATCTGTAAATAAAGGTTAATGGAAAAATATTTGGATTTATTTTTAAATTGTGGATAAAAGATATTACTCCCATAAAAGACTAAATAATGTACAAACATAATAGTAGTTTCCCGAAATATCAGCCTTTAGGAATTTTGTCTTGTCTATCATTCGAAATCATTGGTAATAATTATTGAAGTAAATGGTACATAATACCTAAGATAAAAATATAAATAGTACAGGACCACACTTAAAAGTTTCAATGCTGTACAAGTTGTACAGTTTTTTTTAGGGATAATTATGCACGTTCTTCAGAATACTGAACTGAAATTAATTATTTAAATTGTACTTGCATTATACAGGGTGGCCAAATGAAAACGAAACAGAGCCATTTTCAGGAACTGCGTCAAGATTGTAGAAAAACGCTCAGACCCGTCGATTTTAGATTAAAGGGGGACATTCTTTGCTGGTATTTTTGACTCCGCCACTTTCACCCCCAAGCAAGGGTAAGCATCACCCCAAAATATTTAAATGGCATTGGGGGTTGAGTAATATTTCTTTTGAAAGCTCTTACAATTCTCTTTACAACAGACTTTAAATTTTATAATTCCGCCCAATACTTTGAAAAAAATTTACATTTTAAAATTTAAATTATGTTTAGTTGCTTACTTACTACTTAGTTGATTAAATGTTCAAACTGATGACCGCCCGCTTCCATACAAGAATAAAGATTTTGTTCGAAACGTTCGCGCACATTCCGAAGCATTTCCGGAGTGATTCGACGGCATTCGTCGACGATTCTTTGACGCAAATCTTCCAGCGACGCTGGCTGTGTTTTATAGATTTTACTTTTTAGGTATCCCCACAAAAAGAAATCAAGGGGCGATAAATCCGGTGATCGTGGAGGCCACTCAATGCTGCCTCTTCTCCCAATCCAATTCCGTAGAAAACGTTGGTCCAAATACTGACGGACAATTAACGCATAATGCGGAGGAGCACCGTCCTGTTGAAAAATCAAATGATCTTCATCATACTCTGGAACATTTTCAATAATATCAGTCAAGGCAGGGTCAATAGCGTCTTCCAGTAATTGCAAATACATTTGGCCAGTCAAATTACCAGGTAGAAAAAAAGGACCCACCAGCCGGTCACCGAAAATTCCAGCCCATACATTTAATTTTTCCGGTTGCTGTGTATGCACCTCGTGAAAAACTCTTGGGTTTGAATCGGACCAATAGCGGCAATTGTGACGATTTACCGTCCCGTTCAAGAAAAAACTGCATTCATCAGAAAAACAGATGTTAAAAAGGAACTGTGGATCGTTCCCTGCTCGCTCACTCATTATTTCGCAAAATTGCAAACGGCGGTCATAATCATCCTCATGAAGTTCCTGGACTAAATGTATTTTGTATGGATGGAATTTATTCTTCTTCAAAATGGTTTGTATGCTAGTTCGATTGATCCCAGACACAGATGCCAGCTGCCTCGTACTTAATGTAGGATCAAGATGAACTTGTCCCAAAACTGCAACTTCACTAGCTTCATTAACTATAGGTTTTTCAATTTCTCGTTTTTTATTGGCTACGTTCCCTGTCTCTTGAAATTTTTTTACTAACTCTAGAACATACTTCCTCCTGACATGTCGATCTTGATGTTGTTCATTAAATAGCTGAGCTGTTCTATTCGCACATTTATTGTTCATAAAGTAAAGCGAAATGATATCTACCCTTTCCGCAATGGAATAAACCATAGTGTTTAATTTTCAAAAACACAATTAAATAAACTACCAACCAACGCTTCCAAATAATACTAGAAAATAATTTGGAATCCACTAATTTTACGTTCATTGTGTGTGTATAGCATTCATTTCTGTTTTTTACAATTGTTTTTTTTTACGAAAGTGATAACAAATCGCCAAAAACCAATGTAACGCAAGAAATACTAAATTTATACCATTGGCGTACTTAACTCGAATGACTGACATTTTTACCGTTACTAATTGTTTGTACATAAGTTTCAACTTTAAAATCAAAATTCTTAATAAGTTTTGGGCGGAATTATAAAATTTAAAGTCTGTTGTAAAGAGAATTGTAAGAGCTTTCAAAATAAATATTACTCAACCCCCAATGCCATTTATATATTTTGGGGTGATGCTTACCCTTGCTTGGGGGTGAAAGTGGCGGAGTCAAAAATACCAGCAAAGAATGTCCCCCTTCAATCTAAAATCGACGGGTTTGAGCGTTTTTCTACAATCTTGTCGCAGTTCCTGAAAATGGCTCTGTTTCGTTTTCATTTGGCCACCCTGTATAAAGCTAACGAAGTGGCGGAAACCGAAACGAAATTTTTTAGATTTTTAGATCGTTTAGATTGGTTACATTGTATTAGATCGATTAGATTGTTTTTAGAAAGTATGTTTTTTAATCTATCAATTCTGTTTGTAGTAACATTGTTAAATGAATAAAATTTAAATTATAATAATTGTACTGTTTCCTTTAATGGCATATTTCTTGCCAATAAACGATTGAGTTTTTTACATAACAGTATTAACAAGTAACGCGTAAGTTATAATTTTTAAAATTAACGATCAATTGCCTAACTTACCGTATGCCATTTAACATGTTGAACAGTTATTTTCTGTAAAAAGAATAGAAGTTTGTAAATGTTGAATAAATTATCATATATAGAATTGCTGATAAGATAAATTTAGTCAAGGATTACTAAGATAATTTAGTAGTAAAAATATATGACATTACTATCTACATAATTTTCAATGTTTATTGTAGAAGGTATGTACATACAGTAAAAAATAAGAAATAGAGTAGTTGCTACTTGCTAGGCCAGGAACCAGAGAGGAAAAAATAGAATATGAAAGCAATCTAAGTAGAGTAATAATACTAATGAAACGACAACTATAGAAGAAATGTGGGCAGGAATAAAAACAAAAATAGTAAGAGCAGGTGGAAAATACAGGAAAAAAGTGAGGAAACAGGAAAAAGAATGTTTTGATAATGAGTGTAAGGAGGAGCTAGAAACTAGAAGAAAATTGAGACAAAAGATGCTACAAGAAGGAACAGAGGAAGCAAAGAATAAATATGAAGAGCAAAGAAGGAAAACTAAAAAGGTGCTAAGAAATAAGAAAAGGAAAAATTATGAAACGGTATTAAAACAAATAGAAGAAAACTTAAGAAATAACAATATTAGGAATTTATACCAAGGAGTGAAGAATGAGAAAAGGGGGTATCAACCAAGACCAGTATTTTATAAGGATAAGAATGGGAAGATAGTGGCAGGAGAAAACGAAATATTGAACAGGTGAAAAGAATATTTTGAAGAATTATTAAATGGAAATGAAACCGATGATACGGAAAAAGAAGAAAATAATAGCAACATAGAAGGAGACAATATGGTGCCAGCGCCAAGTAAAGAGGAAATTAAAGAGATACTGTCAAAATTGAAAAATAATAAGAGTCCAGGAAGTGACAAATTAACAGCCGAACTATTTAAATATGGAGGACATGAACTAGCAGACCAATTACAGAAAGTACTAGAAAGATGTTGGGTAAAGGAAGAACTGCCAAAGGAATGGACGGAAGCAGAAATTAGCCCTATCCATAAGAAAGGGAATAGAGGGGAATGCCAAAACTACAGAGGAATAGCATTGCTGAATGTAGCATATAAAATACTGGTTTAGACAAAGAAGAAGTACAGTAGACCAAGTTTTCACTCTGCGAGAAATTCAGGCTGAAAGCTTCGAATACGGTAAGCCAACAGTAGTTCTGTTTGTAGATTACCAACAAGCTTATGACAAAATAAAAATAAGCGAGCTAATAAGGTCTTAGAGGAATTAGAAATCAGCAAGAAGATAAGGAACATGGTACGCCTAACATTGAAAAAGACAGAGAATAAAGTAAAAGTAAACAATAGATGCACGGAAGAGTTCGAAGTTAAAAACGGCGTCAGACAAGGGGATCCATTATCAGCAGTGTTATTTAGTTTAGTGCTAGAAAAAGTCATAAGAGATGCAGGAATTAATAGATCAGGCCTTATTTACTATAAAAGACATCAGTGTTTGGCATTTGCGGATGATCTTGTAGTGTTAGCAAGAAATAAAGCAGAACTAAAAGAGGTAATAAGGAGAATAGATGAGCAGTCAGTTAAAAGGGGACTATATATTAATGAGACAAAAACTAAGTACATGGAATGGTCGGAAGAAGAATATCAAAAAGACAAGTTTCTGAAAGTAGATACAAACAGAGGGAAAACGTACAGATTTGAGGAAGTTGAACATTTCACATATTTAGGAACCTTATTTAGAAGAAGACCGAAAATAGAGGAAGAAATCGAAGCCAGAATAATGTTAGGAAACAAAAGTGTAGCGGGGTTGCAGAGAATACTGAGAAACAAAAACGTTTCTAGACAAACAAAGATAAGGCTGTACAAGACAGTGATAAGACCAGTAGTTACATACGCCAGTGAAACGTGGACGTTGAATAAAGCAGAACAAACAAGATTGGAAGTATGGGAGA